CATATCTATCATCATTTGACCCACATCTTCAAATTTAATATTCTTGCACTTTAGAATGTGACGTTTCAGATGCGACGTTCCATAATTTTTCCCACCAACTTTGTATTCTTGATTACAACCAATACATTTTGCCCTCTCAATTCCATCATCCGCTACTCCTATCTTGGTAAAAAACTTCCAACAATCTGAAGTTTCTGTTTTTGCCTTCTTCTTTGTGGATTCAACAACAGATTGAATTTCTTGATTATCACAACTTTCCACATCAATAGGTTCATTAACCTCCATTTACAATCAACTATAAAAAACAATGAGAATATATTTCATTAAAAAGGACAACAATCAGGGTCCAATTTTTACTAAGCTGCATAGGCACTAAAAATATGGAACCATAACAGCCGGGTAGCAGGGCAACTAGATTCCTAAACCCTACTTACTCATGAACATAACAATGGAAATCCTTGGAAGATAAAACTCCATGAAGACAAAATGCTAAATATTGAATGGAAGTTTACTTGCCTTCTTCTGTTGATTGGTTTTTCAATAATGGAGCCCTTGGTGGAACTTTCACGGACACTGTAATGTGGGTTTTTTGCCCCTTCAATGGACCTTCCACTCTGAAGATAAGACCTGCCCAGAAACCAAATCTTCAATATGCCCACAGGATTGTGAATTATGTATAAAGTACAGTCCAACCCATAAGGAATTTTTCAAATAACTCAACCAATTAATTCTGGCACTAAACATGATAATTTGGATTCACATGTCTTGTTTGCTTTTGATTGAATGAAAGCAGGTAAACATCAATGGAACAGTGTTAATTAATAAGGAAAAGTTATTGCCATAGGAAGACTTTGCTTAGAAAACAATCCAAACTTCATGTCAGCATTTGAAAACATGATTAGCACTAATTCTTTTCTTATCATGCATGGATTGTATTTATTGTCTTAATATAGACGCACTAACGCACAAACAGTATGTGATGAGTTGACTCTTATGAACAGAGGTTAAACTATTCTTTCACTAATTAGATTTCTCACCCTCTTAAGCACCGTCATCAGCAGTTTGTTCGAACTTTCATTTCAGAAGGTTTCTTTGCACATCCAAGCATAACTAAATAGCTGCCAAGTGTATTGTGTATACATTTGTATATATGTACCTTAACTACATGGGGATACCCTCTGAAAGTGTGTTTCTACCTCAACAACCGACTGGTACACTTTCATAGCAAACTGAATTTTGCTTATTACTAGGAAAAGTCATAAACCTCAACCACCATTGCATGAGAAAATTGATAAATGTTTTTACTTGGTATAGGTACAACTATTAATGGGTGATTTCAAAAACAAGTTATGCAGTTGGTTGGCTAGTTATAATTGTAAAATTTCATGTCTTCTTTCTTTTTTGAGATTATGAAATAAGTAATACTAATCACATAAAAAAATAAAATAAAAAATTGAAACTGAGCTTGCAGTGTCTTTAACAAAAGTGGGTCAGAATCAACTCAGAGAGAAAGTAGAGTGGCATGTTGGTTGGGGAAAACAACACCTGAAATTATAGGGAGGCCTTAGGAGGAGTTTTATTCAATATAACATATGAAGAATGGCTACTCTGCCATCATTCCTAATATATACTTGTGCCTTGCTGGTCACCAATGTCTTTGTGGAGAGGTACTATCTTGCTATGCCAATAATTGAGAGAAAATGATGACATCTCTTATCTTATTGGTCTTTTTGGTTATTTGATTAATTTATAGGTAGAAAGTGCCACAAAATGTTTAAGAATATGAACAAAGAGATATCAACATCATGATCCAATAGACTCTCAATCACGCAGGTTATAAATTATTCCATTTAAGATTAGGTAGAAAGTGCAAATTTGGAACGCAATATTGGTCAGAACTCAGAACCTAGATTGAACTGAGAATCAAAGAAGTAAATCAAATCAAAGTTTCACAAAATCTAATGCACAAATTGACTTACCTAAGTACCAGTATTATCAATTAAACACAATTCCATGACACCCATAGCTACAGAATTAATTGGTTGAGTTATTTGAAAAAATAAAAAATAAAAAATGAAAAGAAAATTTCATGGACAGATCAAATTGGAGCGTAATCATTTATTTTGACTGAGTTATTTACTTGTTATTTGTGTCCAGATTGAGCATCACTAGACATAACAGATTCAAGCAAAAGGACCAAAACAAAAAAGATTACAGGACTTACAATCCAAAATAATTTGATCTGACAGGCACCACAGAGGAACGAAGATGAATGGTGGTGAGATCGAAGGCAGGAACGAAGACCGGGGAGGAACGACGGCGAGGAACGGCGGCGAGGAACGGCGGCGAGGAACGGCGGCGAGAAATAGAAGGGGTGGATCTGAAGGGAGAAATAGAAGCCAGGATCTCAACTCTCAAGGGGTGGAACGGCGCAATTGCTGGTGTAAAATTAGGGCAAACAAGTGCAATGTAAATTTTGTAATTTTATTTTTTGTGTATTAAAAAAAATAAAAAAATTCGAATATTAAAAAAATGAACCCGTCGGGCCAACCCGGCCCGAATCATGATCAACCCGTTTTGTTCCTTTTGTAAACGGGGCGGGCTACCTTGGGTTGGTGGGTTGAGACTCATAACCCAACCCGCCAATATCAGTGGGTTAAACGGGCTGGCCCGACGGGCTCGGCCCATATTGCCAGCCCTACCCCTATATATATAGGTAGGATCCTTTGACACCAGTGTCAAATTTCAAATTTGACACCTCATCTGAGAACTCTTAGATCAAAAAAGATCAACGACTATGATTTGCAAGCATGTGACACCGATGATCTTTTTTGATCTAATGGCTCTCAGGTGAGGTGTCAAAGGATCTTGCCTATATATATATATATATATATATATATATATATATATATATATATGTGGGATTTGCATTTGTCATTTAACATGACACAATAAATTTTCTTACACACACAACATTTTGTGGGACCCACACTTTTTGAAGAAAAAAGAAAAGAAAATACTACGGCAGGCAAAACGAATCTCTATAACATTACACAATCACTTTTCCTACAACATAACTCTTATAAAACTATATATATATATATATATATATATATATATATATATATATATATATATATGGGTTCGTTTTTTCTGCAGTTACTGCAGATAAATTATCTGCAGTAAGCCCAATACGACATCGTTTTGGGGCAGAAATCATAGTGTATTTGTAATTTCAATTTATTTTAAGATTATAATAGTCTTTATATTTATAATTTTTTAAGATTTCAATATCAAAACGACGTCGTTTTGAGAATAAATGCAGATAACTTATCTGCATTAACTGCAGAAACATTTTTCCATATATATATATATATATATATATATATATATATATATATATATATATATATATATATATATATATAAATTGAATACATTGAAAATAACTATTACTCACTACTTACCCCCTCACCACTAGGCTAGCCCTAGTGGTACTTCATTTCCTATTCTTCATTTATGTCACCTGGGTAAAGATTAACTTAATTAATTATTTAAGTTTCCTTTTTAGACCACCGAAATAAATATATAGAGCTTAAATTTGATTTATCCTTAACATATATTTTTTATGGGTTTTGCAAATGTCTGTAACAGGAACATTCATATATCATGTCACTGAAATAAGCTTTTGTGGGACCCACTATATAATAGAAAAAAAATTAAATAAAAAACATTGCACGGAAACCAATCTGAGTGCAAGAGCAAAACAAAATTTCCTGTAACATAACTTTTGGTTTTCCCATTTTTTATACTATAAGTTAATCATGTATTAATATATCATTAAAAATGTTAAGATTTTTTGATTTGAAATTATGATAGTCAAACTTCTTTGATAATTCAAAAAAATAATTAGATAATGGAATTAAAAAATCTATATTAGAGTGAATAAAAGTTAAATCCATAAAAAATTATTTCGTAAAAGAAAATGTACAAAAATAACAATTTTAGAATGCATACGTAGACTAAAACTTTAAATTCATTCTAATGCAATAAATAAATACTGGAAAACACATAAGGTGACCTGGATTGAAGTTTAACAAAAGATTCTCTCTCTTTTTTTGGTCTTATGATTATGATGTTTTATTTGCTTGGTATAAAAAGATGGGCCTCCACACAATTTTTTTTTTTTTTTTCAATCAATTTTTTTCTTCTATTGGTGCAACTTCGTTTCAATATTACTAATCTGGTGCAACTTGAATTTTATTTTTAAAAATGATATACAAATTAATACAGAAAATTGTAATTATCATCATAGCGATTATTTTTTAATATTTTCATTAAAGTTTGTGAGCATCAAGTATGATTTAATACATGCTTAATTTTGTTATATTTAGTTGAGTTATAATAGGTTGGAACATAATAGAACTCATTATAACAATTTTAATTTTTTAAGTTAAAATAATTAAATTCGTGTGAAGTGCAACCAACCCATTTGTTAATTGTTAGCTTAAATGTTAAGATATTTCACAAATTAGAAGTTAAAAAAAAAAGTTTTGGAATGAAAAATCTATATACAGTACGGTAAGGATGCAAAATCTATCACACCTGATAACCTTTTACCATAATAAAAAAAGAGAAAATATACTCTTATGTTGTAGGAGAGTATTTTTATCTCCTACACATACATCGATTTCTGTATTACTTTTTTTTTTATCTTTTTTTCTTTTTCTATAAATGGGTGGGTCCCACACATGATTGTCTCTATAACATAAGACAGCTCTCTCCTATTGCATGAGATTAATAAAGCCCATAAAAAAAAATAGTTTTCATGTGCCAAAATAAATATAAAAAATTAGTTTTCACACCAATAAGAATAAGAAAAAAGAAGTATGGTACAACTTTTTTAAAGCATGAAGTATATATAAATATCTAGTCTAGAAAGTTTATATACAAAAAACAATTTCAATTCCTTTCATTTTCATATCTACCTCTTTGGTCACATGGACTCTCTGAGACTTATTCTCCTACTCTTGCTGTTCCTCCCCACTTGCTTCTCTTTCAACTTGCAAACTCCTTCACACAATGAACATTCAAACCAAAGTTCATCACTGAAACAGCAGATTCTTGAGCTAGCTAACAGTCCTAGAATGGTGAAATGGATGACGAGTATAAGGAGAGAAATCCATGAGTACCCTGAACTTGCATATGAAGAATTCAAGACAAGTGCTCTCATAAGGCGTGAACTTGACAAACTTGGTGTTTCTTACAAGTGGCCTGTGGCTAGGACTGGTGTTGTTGCTAAAATTGGTTCTGGTTCTCCACCCTTTGTTGCTCTTAGAGCTGACATGGATGCTTTGCCTATTCAGGTCTGTGTTACAAACTACACAGTCTTTTTTGTTTTGTTTTGTTTTGTTAAGGTCTTGTGTTGTTTCTTACTTGGTTCTATCCCTGTTTATCTCCTGATTAATCAATTTTTGATGCTATATGGAACCATATGTTGACCATTAGTATGTCTGCATGCTCCTGTTTGTTGGTATGAAGCTCTGGCTGGTTTTAACTCTACATGCAATTGTTGATCTTGTAAATTTTTTGATAAAAGAATTTACAAAAGGACCCCAACAAGGTAGATGGTACTCCTTGGTAGGCAAAAATGATAAAAGAAAGGAAAAATGAGTTCTTGTGTTATTCAATTCTGTTAATATTCCTCTTTGAGCAGGGTACAGGTGTTTGTTTGAATTGGGGAACTGCAAGGTTGGTTGATTTTGCTGTGTGAAAATAAAAAACAGGAAAGAGAAGCTTCCTGGATTAATTCTGAAAGAGAGGTGTTGGTCATGTAATTGAGAATTATTCTGAGAAGTTGGTAAAGGAAACTGTGTCAAGATAATTAGTAAATTTAATTCTAAGTACAACCTGGTGCACTGTTTATATTGGAAAGTTGTTACCACAATTCCAATTTTAAGATCTGTTTGTAATTAAAGGGTAAAATCAGTTAATTTCCTTTCCCAGCTTGTACAAGGCTTCATCTAGTTACTCTTGTGTTGCTCAGACTTCTAACCTTCAATTTTTTTTTATATATAGCAAAACCATTTGAGGTAAAATGAGATTAATCAATATAACCTCTTCAGTAATTTTAGATCAACAAAGTGCAGGAGTCTGATAATTTAATATTAGCATATCCCATTGCATTATTTTCTACACTTGTACTAAGTTAAGTGTGGAAGCTTAACATTCTGTGCCAATGCTCTAAATCTCCTAGGACAAATTTGGACAATAATTGGTAGTTTGATTGAAATGTGTGCCTTCTTTGTTAACAAAAATTACAACACAATGTGTTTGCTCTTGTCAAATGTTTTTTATCTGGTATATACTGCTGGTGAACAGGAACTGGTTGATTGGGATCATAAGAGCAAAGTAGATGGCAAAATGCATGCTTGTGCACACGATGCACATGTTGCCATGCTCCTTGGGGCTGCAAAGATACTGCAAGAAATGCAAGACAAGTTACAGGTGAAGAGGAATTGGAAAATGAACATTAGGATATATATCATTATTCCACTGAAAATTAACTCCCTCACATGCAGGCTACTGTTGTTCTAATATTCCAACCAGCTGAGGAAAGAGGCATAGGTGCAAAAGACATGATCCAAGAACAGGTGCTTGAAGATGTAGAGGCTATTTTTGGGTTGCACTTAGTGTCAGTGTATCCCATAGGTGTTGTTGCATCACGGCCTGGAGAATTTTTAGCTGGATGTGGAAGCTTCAAGGCAAAGATCAATGGAAAAGGGGGTTTTGCAGGAATACCTCAGCATTGTTTTGATCCAGTTTTGGCTGCTTCAGCATCAGTGATTAGTTTGCAGAACATTGTTTCAAGGGAGGCTGATCCTTTAGATTCTCAGGTGAGTCAAATACTCGAATTCAACATGAAAAAACTTTGCTAAATGAAACTTTTCGCACACATATGAATGATTCTTTCTGTGATTTGAAAGTAATACAAAAACTTTATCCAGAGAACTTACTTTGGCAGGTGGTTTCTGTGGCCATGGTCGACGCAGGATCTACTCATGATATCATCCCTGATTCGGTTACACTAGGAGGTACTTATAGAGCATTCAGCAAAAAGAGCTTCTATGCACTAAGGAAAAGGATAGAAGAGGTAATTGTCCGGTTATGTATGCACCATATTCTTGTGTTGAATATGAACTCATTAAGAAGCAAACATCAAAGACAGAAAGAACTTACTCAAAGTGGATTTTTTTCATTTGTTTGACTTCTTTGGACAGGTTATTAAAGGGCAAGCAGAAGTACATAGGTGCTCTGCAGAGGTTGAGTTCTATGGTAATGAACTTCCCACAATCCCTCCAACTACAAATGATGAAAGAATATACCAATTAGTAAGGCAAGTCTCAAGTAAGATTGTTGGAGAAAAGAACATAGAATTAGCACCCCTCTTCACAGGGAGTGAAGATTTTGCATTTTACTTGGAAAAGGTACCTGGATCATTCCTTCTTTTAGGTATAAAAAATGAGAAGAGTGGATCCATATATCCTGCTCACAGTCCTTACTTTTTCATTGACGAAGATGTCCTTCCCATTGGGGCTGCAATACATGCGGCATTTGCTATTTCATTCCATTCATATTCAACGAATTCTTATTTTTAGTGATACATATATATCTACCAGTTATATCTGAAAATTTGATAGTGTCTACTAATTCTTTGGCTTAAGTAACTGTCACGGGAGAAATTTTTTTAGAGGCATGTTGAGTTTGCCGGACCAGGGTTTTGTTACAAATATTATTTCATTCATGCTTAAACAAAACAAAATAAAAAGAAAGTAAAAGGTTAATATTTTTGTAGTCTTTTGTACTTGTAAATCATTTAGCAAAATTCATGCTTTCATAGTGTTTTGTACTTCTATACCATTTAGCATAATTCCTCTGGACTGTTATCATTGACCGAATACAGGTTACTTAGCTTAAATAATGACCTTTGTTTCCATCATTATTGACCTTGGAAAACCATTAAATACCTCACCACGAACCAGTTTCCTCGGATCATATATATAATAGAATAAAATAAATTCAACAAAAAAATGCTTTGCTTTGATTGTTATCAATCAATAAGATTGGATGATACTATCTTGGTGTGAGAAAGAAATAATAGTAATGCAAAACTACGGAAACGAGTTCATTCCAACTCATTTTATAAAACAAATACCAATCAGTAACATTGGATGATACTGTCTCGGTGTAAGAAAGAAATAGTAATGCAAAACTACAGACACGAGTTCATGTAGATGTTTGGCCAATGAGGTTATGTTACGGTCTCTACAAAATATTAGCACAAGGGCATAGGTGATTCAAAATTGAGCAAAGAAGCTATAGACAGCATAAATCTAAAAAAGAGATATCTTCAATACAATGCAACTAAAATCTACCTTTTCAAGCAATTCAGAATAATTGAGAAACATTTAAAAGAAAAATGGAAAAGGTTCTAAGATGATTGATATAAGGTATTACATGCACGAGTAGCTCTTATTCTGACATACAGGAAATCAAGTGATTTTAACAAGCTCTTAAAGGTATAGGAACCTTGTATTCAAAAAAAAAAAAAGGTATAGGAACCTACGAGTTGTATAATATCATAAACCTATTCTACATATGGAAGCATCGGATTCTCTGCAAACCTCTGACCTCCTAAGATAAATTTGTCCCATAATATGCTGTGCCTTTTTGGTGCATGTGCTTGTTCCCTTAGCAATATGATGCACATGTAGCTCTGCACCTGGGGACTGAAAAGATACTATAATAACTATGGTAGAATCATATAATATGGAATTGGAAAAACCATAACTCTGGGATATTTTGTATAGTTCTGCTTCACATGCAGGCATCGGCTGAAAAAACAAAGGAAAAGAAAAGAGAGAGAGAGAGATATTGAAGTCCCAAAAACCATTAGTTCAAGAAGGAGGAGTCATTATGAGCAGCAACCATTACTACAACCAAAAGAATGAAACAAACTGCGAGCATGGTGAATATGACTCGTGATGCCATAATGCCCTCACTGATTGAAGGTAATAGATTTATTTAGTTGCTTCTGCTTTGAATGGAAATAAGCTAACTGGGTTGTACATGTATTCTAGCGAACAATATGTCGGTCACATCATTACCTCAATAACTCGACTTTCTAGGATTGTCCGAGCAATTAAAAACAGAGAGTCGTCAGTTTTTTACAAATGAGGGTGGTTACGCCCTCTCCAGATTCCAGAGTATTAAAATGTTTATACAAATCGTTGAGATATATAGTATCACATATGGGTAACTAATGTGGTCTTTGTAAGGCCTTGGGCACTCCCACCCTTTGAGCTAGCTTTTGAGGTAGTGTATCTCAAGGTTCTTAACATGGTATCAGATCTTGAGTAACTATAAGATCACAAAGTTCGATTCTCACGGCCTCCCACTTTCAAGTGGAATTAAAATAATAAACACAAAAATGTAAACCAAAAATTGGGCTTGTGCAATTCCACGCTTCTAACCCAAAGGACTCTTACGTGAGGGGGCGTGTTGAGATATATAGTCCCATAGTGATTGTGTGGGCAACTAATGTGACCTTTATAAGGCCTTGGGCACTCCCACCCTTTGAGCTAGCTTTTGAGGTGGTGTATCCCAAGGTTCTTAACATGGTATCAGAGCTTGAGTGACTATAAGGTCACAAGTTCGATTCTCACGTCCCCCCACTTTCAGGTGGAATTAAAATAAAAAGCACAGTAAACCAAAAATTGGGCTTGTGCAATTCCACGCTTCTAGCCCAAAGGACTCTTGCGTGAGGGGGCGTGTTGAGATATATAGTCCCACATTGATTGTGTGGGCAACTAATGTGGCCTTTATAAGACCTTGGGCACTCCCACCCTTTGAGCTAGCTTTTGGGTGTTGTATCCCAAGGTTCTTTACATGGTATCAGAGCCTCGCCGCCCTCCGCTTTCTCTTGTGGCGTTTCTTAGTACAAGTAGGCTGGGCCTGTTGCACTGTCCACTCTTCAAGCCCAATGGACTCTCGTGTGAGGGGGCGTGTTGAGATATATAGTCCCACATTAGTTGTATGTGCAACTAATGTGATCTTTATATGGCCTTGGACACTCCCACCGTTTGAGCTAGCTTTTGGGTGGTGACCTCAAAGTTCTTAACAAAAACGGTATTTCCTTTTCAGTAGAAGTCTATGCAATGCAACAATATGTAACAAGATGATGAACAAGAAATTAATAATTTCAAAAATTGTCAAACTTAAGAATTTTCCAACAAAGTATAAACCAATTGGCAAAATATGATGGAGCACTTGATACATGTTTATCATAACTTTCATTGTAACTGTACAAACTTTACTGTTATAAGTACAATACCTATAGTTAACAATTGAAACTGAGCTTCAGGAATTTCACCAGCTATTCTTTTTTTTGGGCAGGGGAGGGGGGTTAGGGGAGGACAGATTATAACCACCGGCAAGGTATTATATAATGAAGCTGCAGTTGTACACTTTAACCGGAAGCCAAATGTGGCAGTTGCTTGAAAGGTTCTTTATTCATAACCATGTTTCACGAGACCTTTCGAGAAAGGTTCTTTATTCATAACCAATACACTTGAGAAAAACTGGGATCTGGTTTGGTAATAAACTTCAAATTTAGAAAATCCCTGATTTTTTGAGAATTTCAACCCCATGCTATGAAAGTTTTCCAACACGAACCTTGGAAACATTTTGGGGACATAGGGCGCAAAGAAGAAATAACAAACCCCATAAACCATAAACATAAAAAAGTTATTAAGGATTTAGGGGGAATTTTCCCCCTCAATTCCGGCAAATGGCGGTAAATTTCATCATATGCAATCTCCTTCAAGGAGTTTAATCGGTCCACTGGGATCATAATTTTTAAGGAGTTTACCTTAATATTTCGTACCAGTATAAAATTTTTGCGAAAATATATGGATAAGGTTATATACAATCGATCCTTAGCTCTCACAAAGTTAGGAGCCTTCAGGAAATTAGATTATTGCACGAAGATTCAGGGGTGTACTGGATTAAGATTTCAAAGAATTTTAATGAATTATTTTCAGACAAAAAAATCCATTGGTATTCGATTAGAATTTTAAAGAACTGAAAAAAAATCACATGGTATTCGATTAGAATTTTAAAAGATTATTTTAGAGTCCATTCAAATCCGTTGGTATTCAATCAAGATTTTTAACAAAGGAAAAGTAATCTTGTGGTATTCAAAAATCTAAAGATTTTAAAGAATTTTCTATTGGTGTGGATTTCGTGAGACTTTTTATTGAGAAATATAAATAAGATGTCTCTCTTACAATCTCACCCTAACCCTTAGGATTTTTTGAGATTTCTCTATCGCAGTGTTTTCTTCTTCGTTTGATGGGTTGACCCGCTCAAAATCAGGTTCTGCCATGGGAGCTTCGTCAAAGCTCAAAAACAGCAGATTTTTGAGGGATTTTCATCACAAAACAACCGAGAAAAAACAAATCAACAAGATTTTAATATAATCCATCTCAAAAACAGTATATTTTTTAGAGCTTTTGGAAGTTTAAAATTTTATTTTTCAAGCTATAGGCTCGCGATTTTTCTTGGCACAAAAAGATATGATTTTTGTATTCAAAATAACATAAAACCCTCAAATCAATGTTCATTTTACATTAATGAAACAAGATCAATTTAAAGAAAGATTGAAACTTTCACAATGTAAACCTTATATTTCGTAACAATACATTCATGAACGAAATTTCTTCACTATTTTTTGTATCAATAGATAATTAAAAACTTATTTTTCAAAAGCCTCAAAACAATTTAATGAATACTCAGGAATTCAAGTTTTAATGTATCGATAGAAAATAATTTGAGAAATTTTCTAAACTTTCATGTAATAAAACCTAGAAATTCATATTCGAATTTTTCTTAGAATACTCAATGAAAACATACATATGATATATGGTTAGAAAACTCTCATCACGCAGAACAAAAATTCCAAGGTTTCTATGATCAATTGCAAAAAATTCCAAACGAAAATTTATCATGAACTTTAGGTTCAATATGTAAATTTAGAATTATTTTAATAAATAAATAAAAATTAGGTCTTATAATAATATATGCATAACTCTGATACCAAATGAAGAAGATAATTTTTAACTCATTGATCAAACCCAACAGCATGAACAAGAAAATGCTAATGCATGGAGGACTAGTATAATTTTAGATATGTGGAGAGTTGTTGCTAAGTAATTTTAAATGTTTGTTAAGAATTATATTATTTATTGAGAAAATTATATTAGGTTTTACTTTTTTTTATTAATACCATTGCATTTTTTTGTTTTTTTATTGCCTCTTGTAATTTTGAATGTTTGTTAAAATTCATATAGTTTTTTAGAATCTTATAAATTCATATTGTCCTTCTAAATCTTATAAATTCTATTAAAATCCAATCTTATGAAATCTTAATTGTCAAAAATGTCTTTTAAAAAAGTCTTTAAAGTCCGTCCAATTCTAAATAGTCTTTTAAAATCTATAGAATTTTTTATCTCAAGAAAGTCTTTCAAAATCCTAATCTAATACATCCCCCAAAATCTTAATCTAATACATCCCCCTTAATTTCTTTTTGGTTAATTGATTATTTGTTGGCACAACTCTGCTGGATATGGAATTTTGTTGGTTGCAGAAACTACTTCTGGTTGCTTCATCTCTGCTGATACTGTTGTTTCTCATACCTGGGGTGAAGACACTTCTAGCCTTGCAGACAAGAAAGCACCACCCGCTTTTTAAAATAAAATTGAGTGTCAAACACCGACACGTGTCCGACACACGGTCAACACTTCGACACGTGTTTCTGACACGCGGTCAATTTTTTTTGACAAGCAGTCAACACTTCGACACGCATCCGACACTTTTTTGTTAGGTCTAAATTTCATTTTATTAACTAAAAATGAAAAATTAATTTATAAGTCATTTTTTTTCTATTATGGAATTTGACATAAAAAATTAACAAGGTATGAAAAATTACTTTTGCTTTATATTTAGTTATGGAATTTGAATATTTGATTGGTTTTGTAACTTCTTATGGGCTGTTATATGCTATGTTGCACCGACATTGACACGGGACACGATACTCCAACACGTTAATTTTAAAAAATGTTAAATTTCAACATGTTAGAACACGTTTTGATATTATATAATATTTTTAATTTGTGTAGTGTATATTATATTCAATATTCAATAATTTAACAAAAAAATAAAGCTAAACTTATAATACCTTTCAATTTTGCAAAGAAACATAATATATCCCAAATGTTTATATTAAGCTCAATAAAATCGTAATCGTGATCTAAGGAATCTAATAATTAGAAATCAAAATGTAATGTCCGGCTACTTCAAGAATCAATGACTATCCCTACATACTAACACGAGACTACTTTTCAGTGTGTTTTTTTCTCACTCGCATACTTTTTGAGAAAACTTTCCAGGAGGTCACCCATCCCAGAATTACTGCAAGTCAAACACGTTTAACTATGTAGTTCTTCCGTTCCGGGCTACCGAAAAGTAGATGTTTCTTGTTAGTATAGTTAGTATCAATTAATTCTTATAAGTTATCCCAAACTGTGCAGTCTCATACCTGCACAGTCTTTGGAATTCCTCTCTTTCGGGTGTCGATTCGATTCATTCATGTAACCCCTGCTGGAAGCCTGTCAGGAGCTGCTTCTTGTCCGTGCCTCTTTGCACCGGCGATCACTCCCCGCCCTCTTTGTAACCTCCCTGCCCTCTTTGTAACCTTTGAACCTTTTTGAGTCTTTGCAACGAGTATTAGAGTGTGGGAAAGTGTCGTATACGACACGTCAGGATTTTTGAAGTTTCGGTGCTGCATAGGTTATATGTACTAAATATAAATTATATTAGGGTTCACTTTTTCTACAATCAATGTAGATATATTATCTACATTGAGTCCAAAACGACGTCATTTTGAGGCAAAAATTAATATATTTTTGTAATTATAATTTGTTTCAAGATTATAATAATATTTTTTATTACAATTTTTTAATTTTTCAATTCAAAACGATGTCGTTTTGAGAGCAAATTTAATAACTTATCTACATTCACTATAGAATCATTAAAGCCATTATATTATATATATTAAAAATACTATTTAATACCAAAACATTGTCCTAACGTGTCAAAATATGACATTTTTTAGAATTAATATATCGATGTATCGTATCTCGTGTCGGAGTTGGTGCAACATAGCTCGCAGATGACGTGAAAAAAAGGTCTGATGCCTCCAGAGGATTTTGGTGAGGAAATTGCTAATGTTTTACTCGGGTAGATAGCTCAAGCTGGAGTGTTAAATTCAACACTTCAGGTTACTATGGTTGCTACCTTTTTAAGAATTTTTTTTTTTTTTTGTAATATTTTTAAGAAATTTTAAATTAACCTGATGTGTTGAATTTACCGAGTTCAATACATCAAAAATATTCTCGTCTTGCCGTTGGAATTAACGCGACTTAATCATCACATTTTGATAAAAATTTTCAAAACTATTGCATACCAAATATATTTTGGGTTCATTTTTTCTGCGGTAGTTACTGCAGATAAGTTATATGCAGTAAGTCAATACAACGTCATTTTGGGGCAGAAATTATGGTATTTTTGTAATTTTAATTTATTTCAGGGTTATAATAGTCTTTATATTTATAATTTTTTAAGATTTCAATACCAAAACGATGTCGTTTTGGGAATAAATGTAGATAATTTATCTGTATTAACTGCATAAACATTTTTTCCATATATTTTATCCAAAAATATGGCCTTTAGCTTTTGTGTTAAATTTCAATATCATAAACTCAAATTTTCACAAAATCTCGTGAATTCTACAAAGCACAATAAAAATTGTACTAGACCTAGAGTCACTCTCAAGTAAGGGCTTTATTTATTAAAAGTAAACTTTCTCTCTAAATATAGAGTTAAACATTGCAGATAGATATTTCTGAAACCCTATTTTTTTAATTTTTTTTATTTTGTCACTCTGCATATACACATCTCCATTGACTTCAAGCCTCTTTTCTAGTACATAATAATCTGTAGCTCCTCAAATTATCTCCTCCTAAACACAGTTGATATTTAGATTCCACATCAATCTCGATCCGCTTCAATGGAACAAAAATATATTCCAAATTTAGTAGGCATAAATAGTATCCTCTTTCAATAAAAACATTCGAGTTCTTGTAAATTAAAGAATAAAATATGTGAATTTTTTAATATCACTACACGGTCATGATAATCCAATTAAATTTCATTCAGCTTAGGATGAGCTGGTGTGCACATACCCTTAGCCTGAGAGGCGTGTCAATCAGATACCCCGTTTTGGTCTTCAGAACTCTTCACGGAATGCGCACTCGTGGTATGCCTACTACCACGACAACAAAACATAGCTCCGAATATTCTTTTGTATGTGTATGCTCCTAGTCCTAGTCTCCTACAGCTACAATGTGACTATAGAATAACTTGTACCTAAAAAGGATAACAAAATTGTATTAAAAAAAAGAGTACGAAAAATGTATTTTCTTTTTATTTACAAACATTGTAAAAGGTTGAATTATCCGGCTAATCCAATTAAAATTATTCGTAAAGTTAGAAACAACCTCTGTCAATTAATACACATGCTTGGTGATTAAATAATTATTCTTTTATTTATTCATTGTTATGAACTATGTATAGGGATTAATGGACGTGTAAATTGAAAGTGTTGCGTGGTTTGGGAGCATAGCCACCTAGCTAATTGCAAATGGACCGCGAGGATAGTGAATCCCGAAATGCTTTTATTGCGACAAATACTGATGCATGCATGTTGTTGCAGTTCCTACACCCTCTCCATTATATTCTTGGCCATTTCAAAACAGATGAGTTTTGTAATCTATAATAAGTTAATGAATGCTCATTAATTTGTTTTTTGGTACATATGTCTATATCTGTGGAATCTATGCATGCATGGTTGATGGTTTCAAAAGGCCATCTGTCATTCGCTACAGCACAAGAGGCCATTAATACAAAGCATGTCATGCCATGCCATGAGAGTTGAGAGTTGATACCAAATTAGTAACGAGAAACTGCCATGTTCATTAGCCAGTCTTTTTTTGTACCCTTTTAGCACTTAAAATTGATAAACCACTGTAACAACAATACATTTTATAATAATAATAATAATAATAATAAATCTTTTTACGGTTGAAGGGATACCAGACATAATAATAATAATAATAATAATAATAACAATACATTTTTTATTTCACTTAGTAAAATTACCAAGAGAAAAAAATAAATTTAAAAGATAGAGAATTATTTTCAAACATACTGATGGATTTTTATTTTATTTCCAAATAAGGGGCATTAATTTTAGCTTGGTTATAGGTTTGTGTATTTCAGGAAATAAAATTAAAGTAGCAAATTCTAAACATTCGCGAAAAAAAAAAATTCACTTGCTGTTATATATCTAGAAAATAAAAGAAAAATCGTTTATAATGCAGCAAAAATTTATTAGTGGATTGTGAATGAATTAAATTATACATACTTATACTTTGATTTTCCATGTACGCAGCCTGAAAGCTCTTCACAGTAACAATAAGAAAGGGTGTTATTGTAAATGCAATTGAAGAATCGGTACTATAAAACAAAGCCTCTGCCTTGAGATTGTACCTCACATTATACATTACACATTTCAAGTGGTAGACACTGCTACTTCCACAATGGAGAAGAAAAGGGTGGTTTTACAATCACTTCTTGTGATGGCTGCATTGCTCTTCTGCATGGCAAATGTAAGAGTACTCTCACTTGGTCTGTAGTTTTAACATAAGAATTACATATCTTTGCCGTTGTTTTTAGGCTTTTACCTTAATTTGTAGGTGTCATCTGCTGAGTCTAATGTCAAGATTGAAGACCATCTTACAGACTCTGAGGTTGCATGTCAATTCAAGACCATCTAATGTGATCTAACTTTCAAGTATTTGTTACTGTTTTTCACTGACTCAATTGTTTTGCAGGTGGTAAAAGGACCCAATAGAAGGCTTTTCTCATTTGTGGGTATGATTTCTATTTACTTTTCTCACTTTTTTTAGAAACATTTTTTTCTTTATCATATAGACCAAGGTCACGGTAGTGGTAAAACCACTCCTAGGTACATGTTCGAATATGGGAAACAACCTTTTTCATATTCGCAAGAATAAGGGAAAGACTGCGTATAAAAATTATAAAGATTGTTCTCGTCTCATTCTCACTGGCTATTGCTAGTCATGTTTAATGAGAAGTGATTTTATATAGACCAATTTAATTAGATTTTAATTTACAAAGTAAAAAGGTTTCATACTTTTTTTTATTAAAAAAATTTATTGTTGTTGTTCAAGTGAATTGTTATAACTAATGGATATGTTGTTTTTTGGGAAGACTGTGGAGGAAGGTGCAAGGTGAGGTGTAGTTTGCACTCAAGGCCAAATGTTTGCACCAGAGCTTGTGAGACATGCTGTGCAAGGTGCAAGTGTGTTCCTCCAGGAACTTATGGCAACAGAGAAATGTGTGGGAGTTGTTACACTGACATGATGACTCATGGCAACAAGCCCAAGTGCCCCTAGACCTGAGCATATGCCTGTGTGTTTCACTTTATAATATTCATCTAAGTAGCAGAAATTAGAATTCCCCTTCTGCTTTTCAATGTTTCTCTATGGATTATGTATTTGATACATTGTAATCATCTACATCAGTTTGTGTATCTGTGTGACTTAATTATCTATAATGCATCAAATGTGGAATAAACATCTAGTATATAAGTATATTTTCCCCTAATGAGTTTGCGGATCAGATAAAATAATGCTTTCTATGATATTTTATTTTGATAACAAATGACCTCAAGTTGTCTGATTCTGAGGAACACCCATAAGTGATTTTAGTTTGGAAATTACATGGAAATGCTCACCTGCCAGTTAAATGAATGCCAGAACAACATTCAATGCTTATTATTATTAATTATTAAATGATGGATCAACTCCATAGGCACCATCAGATTACCCATTTCCAAGAACATGCATAATAATAAATGGAAAAAGTGTGTATCATTTTAAAGCACTTAAAATTGTCTCATTTAAGTGAGAGAAAGAGATAGATAAAGGGGGAGAGAGAGTGGACAAAAAAAAATTAAAGGTATAGGTTCCACCTCTTAGTGAGAGGTGAAATGACACAAGTTGTTAAAAGGACAAACATTTTTCTTATAATAAATTTTTGTAAATGTACTTTCTTTTTTTCTTACTTTTGAAATCAAAATTTGCACATTTTCTAATAATAATTTATGGGTTCATCTAATCTCATATTGCAGAAGAGAAGATCTCTCATGTTATAGATACACATATGGTGGGGCCGCTATTTACAGAAAAGAGAAAAAAAGAGTGTCAAATATTTGATGGGTCTATAAGAGATAAAACACTCTTAGTTACATAAGAGTAATTTTTCAATTATGAGAATTGAACATTGGCATGTGACCACTGACTAGGAATGACTGAAAATAACACATTTGTGTTTTTTTTTCCTTAAATATATTATGGAAAAAACACTTCTCATGTTGTATGAGAAGTGTTTTCACATGTTGTGACCTTTCAATACGTGTGCAAAGTTTTTTTTCTTTAATAAGTGTGAGATCATAACTAGTTGAGTCACAACATGAAAAAATAATTCTGATGCAACATGAGAAAATTAAAGTGAAATATTATTTGTGTTTATAAATGAGCTGAAAGTGATACAAGACTCGCCGAACCTGATACTCTGAGTTCGATTCTCTCCAATCACTCGTTTTGCTCTCGAACTATGTTTTAATTAATTATTAATTTATATATCTTATTTAAGGAGAATTTAACAACAAAAGACTTCATGGCCCAATGGATAAGGCGCTGGTCTACGGAACCAGAGATTCTGGGTTCGATCCCCAGTGAAGTCGTTTTTTCTTTTAATTCAACTAAGTTTTCTGAGCTTGTTCATCATTTCAACCCTACTAGAGATTATTCTTTTTAACAGTGATTATACATACCACAAACTTTGCCAATTCATAAGTCCTAACATTTAAATTTTCAAGTTCTTGATATCAAATTTTAGCCTATTCAAATTCGTCCAGAATGAACAAGTTAGTGGCTTTTCACCGCAAAATTTACTGTTAATTTATACCACTAATTCTCATCTTCAATTCACACCTAAAACTTTAGGTGATTTATATGATACACCTCATATAAATTACTATACCTTATACCTCTTATAATAATAATATTAACAATATATTTATCATCTAATCTTCAATTTTGAAGACGTGGCCTCCAATTCTTGAAAATAAAAAAAATATGACCATTTCACTTATCCACCATAAATTTAATGCATATATTAAAAGCTCCCCGAATTTATGATGATAGGGATAAAGATCAATAGTATTTAGCCTTAAATTTACATTTTTGAAAAGAGTTTAATTCTCAATCTTGAATCCAGACGTTTCATCATAAAGAAATAATCTTACTGCGCTTGCCCTCACTCAAATATAATATAATAAATCTGAGGAATATAACATAGCATTTTGTATGACTTATTAGAATTATGCATTACAATTATACGTAGTGAAGAAGAAATATAGAGAGCAGTACAATCGTCTCATAATTTACATGAAGAAAAGGATAAGAACCAAGTAAATTAACTGGCCCTGAAAACGTTTCCCACTATTAGCACCTTCCTAGAAACTTAATTAATGCAGACATTAATGATCATGTTACCCCACTGGATATTTTTCATACTTTACACAGTAGTAAAAGGTGATGGGAAAATGCCATTCAATGCATGCTGCATGTGTGCCATTTACTCTTGAGGCATGTAGATGTGTAACAGCTGGTACACTTCGAAGCAAAAGCCCATAGTGTTGTTCACACTATCATTGGTCCTTGCTGCTTCAGATACAACACATCACCCATGTATTGTCATGCTACAACACTCTCTTTAATGGTTGCTGAATCTCTGACTTTGTTAGCAGCTGCAACAAATATAAAATGACAATTGGGTCTAGTTAAGAGACCATGAATTACTTAAACAAACAAACTTCAACTTCGTTCTAAATGCTGATCCATGAATCAGACACATTTTGTGTTACACAAACAAACTTTAACTTCCTCCTTGAACATCTATATGCAGAGTATGTATACATAATCATATAGAACGTTGTATTTTAAAGCTTTGAGGAACCAAATATTAAACTTTACCCCTCTTTTTGAGCTTATTACGGAAGCTTCTTTTCCTGCTAAACGCCATCTCCTGCAGTAAAATAGTAAGCATAACTACTCAAATATTGGAATCCATCAAGATTATAGAGTTGGAATTATGTGTGAAATATTTCAGTCCATAGTTGTTCTATTATCATGCTAGGTCTAGCATGAACTGTAAAAGCTCTTCAAGAACAAAATTTACCATGACAAAATTATTTTTTAAAATAAACATCTCAATCAGTATGTATATACTGTTTCAAAAATTACCACAGGTTGACCAAGCTCCCCTGCTCGACGAACTGCATCAACAAGCTCCCTGTTGGATTCAGTGTACATACTAGTAACAAGTCCAAATTGACCAGCTCTAGCAGTACGACCAACCCTATGCAAAAAATCTACTGCAGAAGTAGCAAAATCTGCCTGAAATACAATCACAAAATTGAGAGTGAACACTGGTATACAATAAAATATAACAACTCAGAAAATTTAAACATTAAATAGACACAATAAAAACAATAGTACAGTAGAAAGCATGGTCATAATAGTAGTATCAGAGGTCATGAGATGAAAATAAAGAAGGAGACAGATACATAGAAAGTAATGTAATTATTTAAGAGTCCTATATTAAATGAAGTAATTCAGTTAAGTGGCTGAAGAAACCAAGCACCGAAAGCAGGTGGTCTTGTACTTAAAGGGACATCAATTTTAAGAGCTAATCAGATCTTTGTTGAACTATAGGGAGTAACTACAAAGTTATAAAATGTTTTGAGGATAGTTCAATTTTTCAGACTACTCTACTACACTTTATTAGTTGCTCAAAGTAATTTGTAATTTTTTTTACACAGCATCAAGGACATCTTTATTGTCAGATTGTATCAATTCCTTCCCACTCAAATAAATTTCCATTCGCTAAGTCTTGTTTGGATTAGCATTCACTGTTTTGCTTCGTAAAGGAGTTTGGCCTTTAAAGCACAGCATAATCCATTAATTCTGTTGTCTGTTCCTTCCTTCAGTGTGTCATTCACCTTCTATTCAATCTGTTGTCGTACTTCAATCTATTCCGTCACAATAATGTTCCTTTCTTCTTAAAGGAATTAAACAATCTTGGCAGTTGACAATCAACTAAATTAAATAACACGTATACAAATCCCAGCATACTCTTTTCCCTGCAACTCCATTTACTCTTACAAATCAGAATAAAGTATTGGAGATCAACTTGAATAGGCTGTCATGCATAATTTGCTTGAGACAGATTACTTGAATTGTCTGAGGAAATAAGGATCCTCTGCAGATAAATTTATATGCACATGATGAAAATACAATCTCTAATTACAGGAAACAAATCCTAATCAAATAAAAATCAAAGCCCTATCAAACCAAATCATATCCTAAAGATATTGCGAATTAACAGAGAATAAACAGCTACTATATAGGAGATACTTTACAACAAATTTAATTCTCAAAATATGGACTATAAAGAGAGATAATAAGCTTATGCGCAAGAGATATTGATTAGTGTCATTTTAATAAAGCAATTGATAATTTATCTTCACAATTAACTTCCACAAGTGGAAAAGGTGCAATGTTAATCGGATGAAAAACGTTATTTATGACATGTTTATATACATTATCTTTCCAATTTTCTGTAAATACTGCAATGCTTCATTTGCTCAACATACTGTAATTGATAGCTAACCTTCCCTTACTTTATCTGTTTTGAAACCTGGGTTAACATAGTTTTTCCTATCGCAAAGTAGAACTAATAATTGAAACATGAAACTACCATTATTAAGTAAAAGGAGTATACCTGAATAACATGTAAGACATTTGGAATATCAACACCACGAGCAGCTGCATCAGTACATACAAGAACACCACCTTTCTCGTTAAATTCAACTAAGGTCTGTGCTCGCTCCTCCAATGTGCAATTCTTATGATAACATGAACATTCAATCCCAGATCGGAGCAATAACTTTGCCACAGCTTCAACAGCCTCAACAGTGTTGGCGAACACCATTATTCTGCGAATGCCACCAGCATTGTCCAAATCTTCAGATCTGAAATCGTGACTCACAGCCTTTATGAGTTCATCCACCTGTGTATCAACCGTAACTTCTATCCATCTTTGTTCCAATCTGAAAATTGAAAAGCCACAATAACAAATCAAATCACACATGCATAAACAAGCACACTATTTTCCAGCAGGGTCAAGAAGGGTTCGATACAAAATAGCAAAAGTTCATAGACGCTACACATATTTCGTACGTTTTTTTAACAAAGAAAGCTTGATATCATAAAGTTGTGCAATGATTGTCAAATTATATTATGCCCTGCCGAGGAAGTTAATTGAGCTATTTTATAATCTTCTCTCAAATGCTTACCAGAAGGGCATTCTTTAAATTCTGACCAGCAAATAAGAAACTAATGCCAAACTTACAAATGGGGAAAATGGCTTTTATGAGGAAAGGTTGCAGGGCCTAGAACCTGAGGTGTCAATCATTAAGGTTGCACAGCTTGTACTCGCAAGTCTAATCAGAACTGATGCAAAATTTCTCCACATAAAGCCTTTTTTGGTCCAAGGCACCTTGTTAGTACTTTATTTTCCTATCACCCTTTTACAACTCTATTTTTCCTTTCCACTTAAGTTTAATCGGTTTTTAGCATGGCATCAACACATCTTTGACTAGTTTATCAGGTTAGTTTGATCATAGCCACCCTTATTCTTCATAACTAAATAGAATTTCAGCACAAGGTAGAGTGTTCATGTGCATCATTCATGCTTCAAGTCCAAAAAAAAGCTCTTCCTTAAGGGGGCCTATTAAAGAATAAAAGTAAAACTATTTGCTGTGCATGTTATACATGCTTAAGCGTCTAAATAATTCTTCATCATCTTGTAGTCATACTTCCTGCGCATTCAACTCAATATTCACATGGACACTAAAATCAGATTTTGAAAATAGGCTTACCATCTCTGATTATAGTAATATTTGACTTCAAATTTTCACCATATGCATTCCTTTCACTTTATCTTCAGTTCACAATCAATGGAATCATAAAGACATTTAACCACAAACCACTTTCCTATTCTAATTCTTGATAGATGCATACAATTATATCACCACAACAGCAGTTGAGTAACAAGGAGAAAAAATGAAACATAATTTGATAATGGAAAATAAGAGGGGGGGAAAAGCACCTTGGATTGTGACAATGAAGATAGTTTCCACTAACCCAGTTAGCATCAGGAAACATATGTTTCAATATTGCTCCAGCTGTTTTCTTTCCATTCACTGGAAGTGTAGCTGCAACAAAAATATACTGTTTACTACGTTCATAATACTTCCTCACTCTCCTCCAGTCTCTTCGTTTAACAGATCCAGCTTCATTATTAATATCAACAATATCCTCATTATCATCATCATCCTCCTCCTCCTCTGAGATGGCTTCGGTTGGAAGTTCCTCTTCAACTTTTAAAGCTTCATCTGTTGACAAGGACGACTCCAGTTTCATTGGTAACTCTGCTACTGATTCTTTAGATAAGAGTTTTTCATCAAAGCGGAGTAAATTTATCAGGCGGATTACTTTATTCTGGAAGCTCCCACAGAGAAGCATATCAGCTTCATCAAACACCTGCCAATTAAAATATAAACATAAAAGTAATAAGAATTAAGAAATTAATTCATAGATCATTTACATTGACATAGCTACATAAGATCATAACACAAGCAACATACCACGTATTTAACACCACGCATAAATTCCATGCGGCGGGTCCTATCAGGGTCGACATAATTCAGAAGAGCAGCAGGTGTTGTTACAATGATATCAGGTTCCCGAATTGGCCATCCCTGGGACAAAAAGGTTCTTAGTATTGTGAATCACTCTCTAGAGAAGAAAGCTAAAGTTTTATATAGAAATAACCAGGCACAGGCAGACAGTATAGCAGACCACAAATTCCATATAACTACAATTGCACAATGATAACCCGAAATACAGAAAATAAAAAATAAAAAGCTAATGCGTCACTACCTGTCTGCCACAAATGGCTGCAACACTAACTATAGTTTCACCATTGTCTCCACAGAGACTGTTAGCCATCCTAACTACCTGCTCACATAGTTGCACATTCGGACAAAGAACGAGCAGAACTTTCCGGGACCTAGACAATTGTTGATCAGATACAGCATGTAGAGAATGTTCCTGGCTGTCCCTTAGCTTATCAATTAGAGGAACAAGGTAACTGTATGTCTTACCACTACCAGTCTCAGCTGCAATAATTACATCCTTCCCTGACAGCACAGATGGTATAGAAGAAGCCTGAACAACCAAGAAGAATAATCAATAATATGAACATCATAAGCCCCAATTTTCAATACTCAGTGTAGTATATAATGCCTTGGTAAAATCAGAAGTAAGGGGACTCATGTGGCATTAAAAATAAAGACTTGGGTGGAGTAAATACATCAAAGTAATGTTTTTCCAATTTGCACAAGAGTATTGAAAATTTATCCCGTTTATGAGCTTCCAACCAATTGGTGTAGCTTCCAAATTCTATTCTTGGCATAAAAAACCACAACTGTTTTTGGATTTTTTTTCTTTTTTCTCACATCATAAGCACAAACACAACAAGGAAACAAGATTGAATTTTTTATACAAGGGTGTCATTCAATTCCCTAGAAAAGCACAAAGGGGGCAAGAATTGATAAAAGGGGCACCGTGGAAACAAGTGAAAATGACCTGAACGAGAGAGGGTCTTTTGAGGCCAATGTTAGAGAGAGCTCGAGAAATGGTATCAGAGAGACCAAGTGAACTCCACAAAACGTTTTCTTCTGCAAAGAAAGTGTCTCTGCCCTTGGAATCTTCTGGTGATAATGATGCAACAGCGCTTCCAAAGGCTCTTGTTACAGAAAAAGATCGAGCTTTCAATAGAGAAAGCGAGGTGTGAGCATGTTTGAAGTGGGAGAACAATTGGTAGCGAATTGGTGGGTTTTGGAGATTGAGGAGCATCAAAGCAGAACGTGTTGCAATCATTGGGAATTTTCTTCTTCACTCAAAAATTATGCCTTTGTTTCACTGCAGTTTCAATTAGATAGTCGTTCGTTGCTATCATATCAACAAGCAAAAATGTTAAAAGATGGGGTTTAGGGTTTTAGGTAGATAAGGATACTTAAAAGAAAAAGACAAAAAAAACATACGATTTTAAGTAAAATATGGAAAATACATTTATCTTTTTAAGTACAGTGATTTTAATTAAAATTAATATTTTTTTATTTAATATTTAAATTAATCAAAAAATATTTCATTTTCTCTTACTATGATTTTTATTTTTCTCATCATATAGTAGTTTTGTGTTATTTTACTATGATTTTTATGTTTCTCATCATATAGTAATCTTGAGTAAAATAACACAATGTTATATCATTCAAAAAGATAAATATTAATCTCATAAAATATATATAAAAAAGAAACTCTGGAAAAAATTTTAATTTTAAAAGTATAAATAAATTTAAGTATGACATATTTTATATACATGTTAGTTACCATGAACTTTAAAAATGTGTTTGGGGTTTACTGGATCTACTTTAAAAGTATACAAGTTCATTTTTTTTAGTGTTTTACACAAAATCTGACCGGTCTGATTTTGTGTAAATTTGAAAAGTTATTTTTTTTACTTTACACATTAACGATGTAATTAGAGAGTGAAGAAAAAAATAATTTTTCAGATTTACACAAAATCTTACTGATTAGACTTTGACTAAATCACCTTAAAAGAACATAGGTTTGTATCTCTTAAAAGAATACTTTTTTTTCTCATGTGTTTGTTATAAATTTATAATACTTGTATTTTTTTTTTTTGTAAATATAATACTTGTAATTTAACTTATTAGTTTTTTCTAAAAAAAAAAAAATATCTTCATCAACCTATCAATTATCTTATTATTTTTTTTTTTTATCCATTACTTGTACTCTTACATTTTTTATATCAAATTTTTAACATCTCAAACTCAAGAATCTTGGTTGAGCTGGAAATTGAATCAACGCGTATTTGATTGTCAGTTTATTTACTAGTGACCGATTAATCCAAATATCCAACCCTCGACTGAATGAACTATCGATTCTAAGTTTAATAAAAAAATTGAGTATAAAAATGTAGGAGTTCTTAAAAGCACAGTTTGTTTTTTTTATTCTTCTGCTTTAAAAATTATTTTGTGGTCCACATAAAATAATAAAATAAAATGCTAACAATACACTCCTGAAACATTATCTTTTCAACACATTCTTTGTTATTAGATGAAATATTTTGTCAGTTTCATTAAATAACGTGAACCTATTCTCCAGGCTTTTTGACCCTTTTGCCCCTCATTAATTAATTAATAATCAATTTGCCCCTGATCAAGAACTATCCACCAACCTGCCCCCGTTTAGTCGACTACCTTGCTGTTTTAGTCGAGCAAATGGTCAATCTTCAGAAAGTGGACTACCGCAAATTTAGTCGACTAAAAAATCATCTTAATCGACTACATTTTTGGGATATTTAGTCGACTAAGTATCGATATTTAGTCGACTAAATGTCGACTGAAACCCTATATTTTCCATGTTTTCGGTCTCATTTCGATTGTTGTTGTTGTGTAAACTTAAATAGCTCCCTTTGTTCATGTGTAATCCTCTCAATCCGATTGTATTTCATCCCACCATCTCTACAGACCTAATATTGTGAAATCATTGTCATTGCCCAATTCCAAACCCCAAAATCCGAACCCAAACCCCCAATTTCAGAACCCAAGTCCCAATTTCGTGAGGAAGATGAGCACAAGTCCAAACATGTATGTGACAATGATCTACTATGATGGAAAGCATTATGAAGGCCCCAATGGTGTTCAATTTGAAGGAAAAACGAAAATGTTGAAAATCAAACGGGGCACTACATACAATGAGTTAAAGGAGAGAATTCAGCAAAAATTGGGTTTGCAAGGCAGCCAATGCGTTCAACGGATGATTGCCAGGGTAGAGACAACAGTTGGTAAGGATGCTATTTACTACATTGGTAACGATATATGTGATGATGAAGATGTCGAATGTGTCATAGATGCAATTGTTGACCGAAAATTTCAAAATTTTATTGAGATATATGTTGAATTAGATTGTGGTCAATCTTCATCTGCACCCATGCATACAAGAAGTGAACCGTATTTTGGTCATGAAGAAAGAGTAGTCGATTTATCTGCACCTGCACATGTCATAAGTCAGATAACACTGCGGGAAATAGATGAGGATGAACAGGATGCCGATATGGACAGCGATGAGGACGGTGAACCTGAGAGTGTTATTCCACTAGGTGACACGTCAGATACTGACGTAGAGGGTGATTTCGACGCTGACACAAGCTCACCATCCCCGGGTTCGCAGGTTACGAGACCACTTCGTGTTGACCCTGTTAGCAGTGGTAAGATTTGTTTTTTAAAGATTTAATTTAGCAATTATTTTTTTTGTTATGAATGGTATTGACGGTGGCATTATAATGCATCCGTAGGTTCTGAGGTCGAGCCATTTTGGAATGAAAGCTCACATTATACCTTCATTAATTGGGCCCACCCTAATGATGAGACGGAGATATTGTATGGTGACGATGATGATCACGGTGGCTGGCAATTAGGGGATCCTTTATATTTGTATCAGGAGTTTCGTAGCAAATCTGAAATGCAACATGCAGTCAAATTATATTGTATGAAGGCTCACCGTACTGCAGTTGTGGCAAAAAGTGATGACCATAGATTTGTGATGAAGTGTCGACACCATAATGATGGATGTCCCTGGTATGTGAGGGCATTGTTGCCGAAGAATGGAAATACTTGGGTGGTTAGTAAATGGGTTAAAGAACACACCTGCCTAAACCAAGGTCTTACCCGGGATCATAGACAGTTGGATTCTGATGTGATATGTGCAACCATTATCAGTATGTATTATTCGATATATCTAACTTCCTAAGGTATGTTAACGTTAATCAGTTTGTATTCTGACTGTTGGCCGGTGTTTTTTTTTATATAGGTATGTTAAAAGAAGATCCATCATTGAAGCCAGTTCTTATTCAAGAGAGGGTACAACGTTTGTATGGATACAACATATCTTACAGGAAAGCTTGGAAGGCTAAAATGAAAGCCATTGTCAAGTTATTTGGCGACTGGGATAAATCGTATGCATTCTTGCCTGGTTGGCTGACATACATGACGCAGGTTAATGTGGGTTCTGTGTTCAAGATTGATACAGACCAATGTGTTGATGAACGTCGAGTGTATACGGATAAGGCTGTCTTTCACCGAGTATTTTGGACCTTTCACCAGTGCATTGAGGCCTTCAAATATTGTAAACCCATAATCCAAATTGATGGCACGCATTTGTACGGTAAATACAAAGGAACTCTTTTGATTGCAACTTCACAAGATGGAGATGGTTACATTCTCCCTATTGCATTTGCTATTGTTCCTCCTGGTGAGAGATTGGATGATTGGTCGTGGTTTCTTAGCCTCATGCGTTTTCACGTCACGCATAAGCATGGCATTTGTCTAATATCCGATCGTCATCCCAGCATCATCAGGGCTGTAAGAGATCATGCCGGTTGGCAGCCACCATTTGCGTATCATGTGTTTTGTCTACGCCACATCGGAAGCAACTTTAACACTAAGTTCAGAGATGTGGAATTAAAGAAAACCCTGATGAAGCTAGGTACAATCTTCTTTTTAATATGTACAAATTGTATATAATTCATCCTTTTGTATCTAACGCATCATTTTGTATTTCAGGGTACTTGAGTTCAAAGATTCATTTTGATATCAGATTCCAGGATTTTATCGACAGTAACCCTCAAGTAGCTTCATGGATAGATCAGATTCCCAAAGAAAAATGGTGCAGGTCTTACGATGAGGACGGTCGGAGGTTTGGTCACATGACGACTAACTTATCTGAGTGTGTGAATAAGGTCCTGAGGGGTGCACGTAATTTGCCTATAACAGCATTGGTGAAGATGACTCAAAGTAGACTTGTTGAGTATTTCGTCAAGAGACGTGAAAAGATCCAAAAGGCAAAGGCAAAGGGTTGGAGAATTGCAAAAAAAGTTGAGGATATCATCCAAAAAAATGATCAATTAACAGTGAGCCTCCGTGTGCGGGTTTTTGATAGGGACCTGCAGCTATTTGAAATTGAGGATGCCTACAATCAATCAACTCATGATGCAGGTGACATAATGAGGGTGGACTTGCTCAATCGCAAATGTCAATGTGGACGGTTCACATCTAGAAGATTCCCTTGC